CTACCCCTATGCTACCCCCTTCACAGGCCTACTTTCCCTACTCTACCCCTATGCTGGCCCCTGCACAGGCCTACTTTCTCTACTCTACCCCTATGCTACCCCCTTCACAGGCTCACTTTCCCTACTCTACCCCTATGCTACCCCCTTCACAGGCCTCCTCTCCCTACTCTACCCCTATGCTACCCCCTTGACAGGCCTACTTTCCCTACTCTACCCCTATGCCACCCCCTTCACAGGCCGACTTTCCCTACTCTACCCTATGCTACCCCCTTCACAGGCCTACTATGGCCCGACACGGGCCTGCACGACCGATTGGAACCGATACTTCCAAATAGCCAGTGACACTCTACCCCCCACCTCACCAAAATGGCTATGCACGACCGATTGGAACCGATACTTCCAAATAGCCAGTGACACTCTACCCCCCACCTCACCAAAATGGCTATTCGGAATTATCGGTTCCAATCGTTCCCCCTTCACAGGCCTACTGTGGCCCGCACTGAACCCAGTGCCCTGGTTCAGACTCCAGAGCTATTCTTTTTGCAAATGCTGGAAACCGGGTCCAGCGTTCGGTACATGAAAAGAAAACTCACCCTCCAATCCCAACTTGACACGTGTCAGATAGCCTACTGTGAGCTGATTGGTGGATACACACAGCATACTAGTGCCACGGACTACCGTCCTTGCCCGAATAGAACGCCCTCCCTGCCCTGTCAATCTCGCTGCATCTAGACTGAAAGTTGCCCCAAATGCAGCTATAATGACCGGGCATTCTATTGGGGTGAACGAAGACCGCAGTATATGGTAGAAATAGTACAACTGACACACACATCTATGGATCTGGATGTGTGTGTGATGTAGATTCATTTCAGTGTGTGTGTGTGTGTGTGTGTGTGTGTGTGTGTGTGTGTGATTTCATTAGTGAACATTTAAACCACCACTTCATTGCAAGCTTATTTCGTTGAAGTTGGTGGAACGTCTTTTTATTTTTTTTTATTTTTTATTTTATTTTAACGAGGTACTTTCACGAAACGGGTTGCAGTCGCAGTCTCAAAACATGGCCTCCATATGTGTATTGGCGGCAATGTTGGGTAGTGCTTCTGGTGGTCGTGGTGGTGGTGGTGTTGGATTAAGGGCTTTTTGAAGCCCATGTCCCACATCCAGCGTCCAACAGGGACGACCATCATTAGGATTTGAACTCATGATCTGTTTCTTAGCAGCTAGCTGTGTATAACATTCAGCCACAAGGCCCGGGCGCATTTTGCAATTTCTCAAAAGTCGTTTTTTACTAACTTTTTACTATTTACTATATATTTTTTTAGCTTTGAATACAAACGGGGATGTGTGCAACTGACAACGGATTTTTCTGTCGCTATTGATTGCTAACCGTTGACTTTGACCGTTGACCTTGACTGTTGACTTTGACTGTTGACTTTGACTTTGACCATTGACATTGACCGTTGACTTTGACCATTGACATTGACCGTTGACTTTGACCATTGACTTTGACCATTGACTTTGACCATTGACTTTGACCATTGACTTGGACCGTTGACTTGGACCATTGACTTTGACCATTGACTTTGACCGTTGACTTGGACCGTTGATGCAGGGTGTACCAGAAAAGGTGTTGGAAGAAGAACTACCAGATGTGTCTGTCTATGACAGAGCCCAAGCAATCAACTCGTTGCTTCAAAAGGTTTGACAAAAGTCAACCGGTTCGACCATTGAATTTGACAGTTGACTTTGACCGTGGACTTTGGCATGTTGTATCCTTTGCTTCACTTACCCTTTCCCCCCTGCCCTGCTCTGCTTCCTTCATCGTCCTTTTCCCCCCTTCTCTCTCTTTCTCTCCTCCCCTCCCTTCTGCTCCCCTCGCCTCCCCTACCCTACCCTACGTTCCCTCCCTTTCTACCTTCCCCTCCCCTTTCGATCGGGGTTCTTTACATGCTTACGTGCGTTGGTCCAGGCTCTTTTCTGCTTCGCTTTTCTCCTTCTCTTTTCTCGTTCTCCCTTTTCTTTGTTTCTTCTCTGCCCATCCTTCACCCATCTTCCCTGCCCTTTGCCTCCGCCACCCACCTTTCTGTTGCTATCTCCACTTATCATTGTCTCCTTCTCTCCTTCCTCTTTCCCTTTCCACCTTGCTCGCTTACTCCCTGTCTGTCGCCCTTTGCTGTCGTCATCTGATGCTGGAATTACCGTCTTCACCCGAATACAATGTAAGGTCGTTATAGCTGTATTTGGGGCAACTTTGAGTCTAGATACAGCAATAGTGACGGTACATTGTATCTGGATGAAGATGGTAGCATCCCACTGTTTCATGGATGTGAGTACTGCGCTAAAATGTTTGTTCTACTTTCCACAAGCATCCACTATGCGACTCCAGGTTCCATTTGTTCCCATTTGTGAGAAATGCCTCCTCGTCTTCCCCTCCTTTCGCTCCCTCGTCCCCTTTTCCCTTCTTCTTTCCTCCTACACCTCCGTTCCTCCTCCCCTCCTTGCGCTCCCTCCTCCCCTTTTCCCTACTACTCTCTTCTTCCCTTCCCCCTTCTCCTCTCTTCCTTCTTCCCTTGTACTTCTCATCCTCCATCCATCTCCTCCTCCACACCTTGTCCTTCTCCCCTTGTCCTTCTCCCCCTGTGTCCTTCTCTCTTCCTCGTTCCCTCCTACAACTTACCTCCTCTCTTCCTCGTTCCCTCCCACTACTTACCTCCTCTCTTCCTCATTCCCTCCTACTACTTACCTCCTCTCTTCCTCTTCTCTTGTTGTTGTCATTCTCCTTCCCTCTCTTCCTTCTCGCCTTCTCTTCCTTCTCCCCTTCTCTTCCTTCTCCCCTTCTCTTCCTGCCCTCCTCCCCTCCTCCCCTCCTCCCCTCTTTGCCCTGCTCTCGTCCTCCCCTCTTCTCCCATCCTCCTCTTCTTTTCTTCTGCTCTTCAACTTCTTCCCTCTTCTTCTCCTCTTGTCACTCCCCCTGTCTTTCTCCTTTCCTGCTCCTCTTTTTCCCCCCTTTTCTTCGCCTCCCCTCTCCTTCTCCCCTTATTCGTCTCCTTCCCTCCCCCCCCCCCCCCCCCCCCCTCCTTTTCCTCTCCTCCGTCCCTCCTCCCCCCCCTTCTCTTTCTCTTGTTGTTTTGTGTTGTTGTCATCATGTTTTGGACTTTCTAGGTGCTGGTGCAGTGATGTGGACCATGCTGGTTCATTCTGGCATCCCAGAAGAAATGATTGAAAGAAACTTTTTGTACTTGTACCAGATTATTAACTAAATGACTGAAAGAAACTTTTTGTACTTTCACCAGATTATTAACCAAATGATTGAAAGAAACTTTTTGTACTCTTACCAGATTATTAACCATGTACTCCAGGGTTCAAGTTCTGAGCAAAGTGCTCTACTTCCCCATGCTCTCTTTATCGAACCAGCTGCAGGCAGGCCAGTATAATGGAAACACCACCTCTGTTTGCAAGGCCACAAAGGCCACAGAATTCTGCAGAGGGGCTTAGAGGGGTGCACACATTGGCGATTTATAGGCTATTATTATTATTATTATTAGTATTATTATTAGTATTAGTATTATTATGACTGCTTTCCATTCTGGGGAGCATCAACCCCGTTCGTTTTCCTTAAACCAACAGTACTTGGCCCAGCTATCGGCCACGGAAAAAAAATAGAGTAGAAACGTTTCTAGTTTGATGAATTTGGGCGCTCCTGTAGTGGCCCGTACGTTTCCTAAAATTGTGGCGCATTAAAGGGCACGACTTTAGGAAGAACTGGTGGTTTATTGTTAGTTCCCCTTTAAACGACCAGTACATCCGAAAAAGCAAATTGAGCCTCTCCTAAAGTTTCGGAGGCCATGGACCGTCGATAGAATGAAATTGAATGAATCAATGGTTCATCGCCTCCTATTTTTTAGGAGAGGCTTAAACTCCTTTTGCGGATGTACTGGTGGCTTAACGAGGTTAACCCGCTTGACGGGGGTAGCTTGCTTAACCCGTTAGTCCCCTTAACTGGGGTTAAGGGAACCTTAACGCTACGGCTCCCGACTATGGAAAGGGTTAGGGTAAGTTCCTATATATAGCCGGTTGTGTCACTCTCTCTTGAGAACGGAAGGGTGGATCAAGGGGGGGTTAAATGGAGGGGGGCGGCTATGGAAAGGGTTAGGGTAACTTCCTATGTATAGCTGGTTGTGGCACTCTCTCTTAAGAACGGAAGGGTGGATCAAGGGTGGGTTAAATGGAGGGGGGCGGTACGATCAAAATATTGTCCACTTTCTGACTATGGAAAGAGTGATCGATAGTGGGGAGCTACTTTAACCCACCCTTCTCCTCATCATGGCTGGACGAATCCCCGAGAATGATCGGGACAACTGAGCTGTGGCCCCTCGGACACTTCTTCCCGTCAAAAGCATTGATTGCTCCTGCTAGAGGAGGATTGACTACAGGATTTTTATCCTTATATACTCCAGAGGAGCTTTGACTATTGATCCTTGGTGTCCAAAGGAGGAGGAATGGCTATTGATTCTCAGTCTTAAAAGAAGGATCGACTATTCCAGAGGACAATTGACTATTGCTTCTCAGTCTCCAGAGGAGGAGGAGAATTGACTATTGATCCTTCTTTGTCTCCAGAGGAGGAGGATTGACTATTGATCCTTAGGCTCCAGACGAGGATTAGCTATTGATCCTTAGTCTCCTGCACATTGACTACCGATCCTTAGTCTTGAGAGGAGGATTGACTATTGATTGACTATTGATCCTTAGTCTCCAGACGAGGATTGACTATTCGGAGGACGATTGACTATTGATCCTCCTTAGTCTCCAGCGCAGGATTGACTATTGCTCGTTAGTCCCTCCAGAGGAGGATTGACTATTTAGTATTTATCCTTAGTTTATCCTTAGTCTCCAGAGGATGATGGACTATTTATCCTATCCTTAGTTTATCCTTAGATTGACTATTGCTCGTTAGTCCCTCCAGAGGAGGATTGACCATTTAGTATTTATCCTTAGTTTATCCCTAGTCTCCAGAGGATGATTGATTGAATATTTAATATTTATCCTTAAGTCTCCAGGGGAGGATTGACTATTGATCGTTACTTCCCTGCCCTACTCTAGACAGCAGGATCTTGCAATTATAATCCACTTTTTTTTTGTTTTTTTCCCTCCCCTCATCAGGTGATATGCAGCTGAGTGGCAGACCACTTTCCGACACTTCTTTTTGTACAAGGTACATGAAAAATGTATGCGGATGGCATCACGGTGTCATACACGGAAAATGTATGTGGATGGCATCACGGTATCATACACAGAAAATGCTGGCGGCAGTGTTGTACAAGGCATGAAAATGCTGGGAGTTGAATGCCTCGCCGAAGAAGCGAAACGCTTGTGTCCGGCTTGGCGGTCTTTTTTTTTTTTTTTTTTTGTCTTACAGCCTGCGTGCTCACTCTCCTATGGATGTTCTCTTCCTTGGGTGTCTGCCTGTATCTGGTCTACATCTGGTCACTTTTCAGAAAGAGCTACAGATTCTGAAGCATGGAAACACTCTGGTGTACAAGGAGGTTGATCAAGAAGAAGCGGTCAAGTGAGCATGGATCTGCCTGCTCTTCGATCTCACCTACCCTTTTTATTTTTATTTTTTTCCTACTCTTCTTTTCTTCCTTTGTCTTTCCCTTTTTTTTTTTTTTTCCTGAGATTGCATCTTCCCTTGATGAATGATTCAACCACCGTTTTAAACTTTTTTTTTTTTTTTGCATGCGTTTCCTAATGACTGAACGCTCTCTCTTCGTTGTTGATAATCCTCCCTCCTCCCTCCTCCCTCTGCCGCAGCGCTGTGGGTCCTGCTGCATGTTTCTGCAACCGTCTTCCCCCATAACACAATGCACCCTCATTTTGATTATATCTGGCTGGAAAGGTAGCTTGTATGCATTCATTATCGGGGTGTGTTATGCTTGGGGGAAGACAGTCGCATGCATATCCGTGTGACTGAAAGCTCCCTCTTGGTTGTTTATAATCATTCTTAACTGTGTGATAAGGTGATGGTGGCAACGTATCAGACGGTGGGCATCATGCCTCCCTTCCCCGCCCCCCCCCCCCAAAAAAAAAAAAAAAAAAAAAAAAAAAAAAAAAAACGAAATATTTCTTATAACATAAATTAAAAAAATGCCCCCCTTCCCCCCCCCCCCCCCCCAAAAAAAAAAAAAAAAAAGGGAAGAAGAAGGAGGAGGAGGAGGAAGAGGAGGGGGAGGAGACAGTGGACATCAGCAACATTACAGTTGCTGGTGAAGAAAAACAGAAAACACTGTTTGCACAAGCAGACAACGTATTGTGGTGACAAAAAAAAAAAGAAGAAAGAAATGATTTTCAGGAAGATGGACTCGTCAAAGTCGGGATGGACGGAGGAGTCCTCAACGTGTAATGTTTTTGTTTTTTTTTCGACTTTTTTGTTTGTGACATTTGTTCAGTGGTTATGTCCCAAGTGTGGAATTCTAAAAGCTGCTAAACGGCTAACGGGCGTAGCTCAGTTGGTACACCCACTGTTGAAAATTGAAATACTTTTTTAAGTTTTTTTTTTTTTTTTTTTTTTTTTTTGACCCAAACTCAAATCCCGACGGAATCAGATGATGAACAGAATAAAAAGAATTCTCAATTACCTTGGGCCGGTCAGTTCAATGATGATATCTGAAGGATGCCACCCTTCAAAAAAAGGAAAAGGAAAAGAAAATGTCTGGTTCCCAGTTTCAAAGTAATCCGGGATAGACATTGAAGAAGACTACCGTTTTCCCCGAGTAGAACTCCTGGGGATTATCGCTGCATCTGGACAGAAAATTGCCTCAGATACAGCTCTAATGATCGGGCATTATATTCGGGTGAAAACGGTAGTCTTTGCATCTGGAGGTTCTGATCGCTGCTCTAATGATCGGGCATTATATTCAGGTGAAAACGGTAGCATTATATTCGGGTGAAAATTGCCTCTCCTCCCTCCCTTCCTCCTCTCCTCCTCTCCTCCTCTCCTCCTCTCCTCCTCTCCTTGTCTCCTCCTCTCCTCTTCCCCTCCCTCCTCCATGATCAGAAGGAGATTGAGAAGCAGAGGGCAATTGAGGGAGAGGGAGGCTGACCATCCCCTCATCGATGCCCTTCTCCCTCATCCTCCCTCTCCTTCTCAATCTTCTCCTCTCCCGTCTCCTTCCTCCTCGATCCCCTCCTCTTCTTCGTCTTCCTCCTCCCTCTCCTCCACAATCTTGTCGTCCTCTTCCTTCTCCGTCCTCCTTCCTCCCTCCTCCTCCCCCATCTTGATCTCTTCCTCCGTCTCGCCTTCCACCTCCTGGAGTCCCACTTAGCGCCACCTGGAGTCCTACTTAGCACCACCTGGAGTCCCACTTAGCACCACCTGGAGTCCCACTTAGCGCCACCTGGAGCACCGCTTAGTCCCACTTTGTTCACAAAGAAGTATGATGCTGTCATTGCGGTACTGCTTTGCATTTCTGAGTGGCGGCGGTTTACTGCTTGAAGTCTGTAATGATTGCAATAAATACAGCATCTTCTGAACCCTTTTCTGTTGTTGTCATGGCTTTTATGTGATCAGGTTCAAAGGTTTGGGACAAGATGACGTATTGATTTACCAAATCATTCAGCAAGCGGGAAACACGGGTGGGTAACCTGTTCTTTGCTTTTTTTATTTTGCTATTTTTCTTTTTTTTTCCCTCCAAACCTGCAAATGAATAATGAGGGTTCTCCATGGCATATAGATCTTTTCAGCCCCCAGTGCCCACACCGAAAAAAATGTGGAAGAAAATTTAAAAAAGCAAATAATTATGAAATTAAAATAAGAAACTAGTGAACTAAAACAGTACTTAGGTGGACCCCCACTGGCGACTCCACCTCATCTCTGACGACCACTGTTGGGGCGGGGGGGCAACATGAATCCCTCTGAAGTTTGTGAGACACCTGTGCTTGCAGGGGTCCCCTCTACATATATGTGTGCGTATGTGTGTGTATATGTGTGTGTATGTGTGTGTATATGTGCGTGCGTGTATATTTGCGTGTGTGTATGTGTGTCGAGGGTGTGTGTAAAGTTGTGAACACAGCAACTCTGCAGAAGCAGGGAACGGACCATACCTTGCTCACTGTTACGATCCTGGTCATTTCCCAAGTGCAATTCACAATGAAAGACAATGCCACCAAATTGCGAAAGAAATGAAAGCACTTGCAAAGAGATATGGACCAGAGGAGAGAGAAAGAAGAAGAAGAAGAAGAAGAAGAAGAAGAAGAAGAAGAAGAAGAAGAAGAAGAAGAAGTACACCAGCAAGACAAATGACAACTCCCCCTTCTCTCTCCACCTTCCT